ATGCAGCAAAAAAGCAGTATGAAGAGAGAAGCTTATAGTAATAAATGCTAGATTAAAAAAGAAGATTTCCAGTAAACAACCTAACCTTACACCTGAAGAAACTAGCAAAAGAACTAAGGCCAAAACTAGTATCAAGAAATAAAAATGATTAGAGCAGAAATAAATCAAATAGAGAAGAAAAAGGCAATAGAAGAAATCAACAAAGCTAAGAGTTGATTTTTTGAAGATAAACAAAATTGACAAAGCCTTACCTGGACTAAGGGAAAAAAAGAGGAAAGACTCAAATAACTAAAATTAAAAATGAGAAAGGAACATCACAATTGATATCACAGAAATAAGGATTATAAGAGACTACAGTGAAAAATTATTCACCAAGAAACTGGGTAACCTGCACAAAATGGATAAATTGCTAGAAAAATACAATCTACCAAAACTGAATCAAGAAGAAATAGAAAGCCTTCACATACCAATTACAAATAAGGAGACTTAATTAGTAATCAAAAACTCCAAAGGGAACACTCTCAAATTCACTTTATGAGCTCCCCATCACACTGATTTCAAATGAGACACTGTGCCTAAACTCTATATGCAAACAACATAATTTATGCTAAACACCTGCTTTCTTTCTGGCAGTCTAAAAATTTGGAACATACTAGGCAAAAGGTACTTATGTGACTAGCCCCAGTAAAACCTTGGGCACTGAGTTCTAATGGGCTTTCCTGATAGACATTTCATACGTATTGTCACAACTCATTGCTGGAGGAATTAAGCATATGCTTTGCGACTCCACTGGAAGAGGAATCTTGAGAGCTTACACCTGGTTTCCTCTGGAGTTCACCCCATATGCCCTTTCTCTTTGCCAATGTTGCTTTGTATCCTTTCACTGGAAACACAGCCATGAGTGTGACTATATGCTGAGTCTTGTGAGTCCTCCTAGTGAATCACTAAACCTGGGGGTGGTTTTGCAGACCCTAACACAGTCTGAAATTTCAGTTATTTTATTTACACATTCTTAACTGTTTTTTCCAGCATGACAGATGACATTCACATTTGCCATGCATTTCCACGGGATATGTTTTATGTACAATTCCATGCATGCCAGTTATAAGTCTGCCTTTCTCTCCTAGTTGTAATCAAGTATCATAATAAAAATAGTTTATAGTCTTATCTATTAAAAATAATAGCAAATGCTCACAAATGGATGTCAGATATTGTTCTAAGCACTTAATTTATGTATTAATTCAATTAATTCCCACAACAATCCTAACCATGATTCCCTCTATTTTAAGTGAAGGAAAATTTAAGAAAACTAACGCGCAGAGAGGTTATATAGCTAGCAAGTGGTGGAGCTAGGATTTGAACTTAGAAAGTCTGGCTCCAGAGTCATGACCTTAACTACTACCCCATATAGTCTCTCTTTTAAGTAAACCACTCACAACTTTTGATATTTAACTATTATTCATAATAATGTATAATGAACCTCAGTTCATTTAAGTCACACCCTAATATGTCATAACATTTTGATTGAGAACCTCTACTCTGACATAACATTAGAACCATTGTCCCAAGATTGGGGGCCAATCCTAAAGAACTGGGACCAAGAGATTAGATTCTAACTCTGACTCTATCACCAACTAAATGTGTCCATTCAAGTAAGTAACTGATCCCTTCTTGCCTCAATTTTCATATCTATAAAATCACAGCACTAGGCCATTTACTCAGTAACATTCGATAATGTGCTGGCACCATTCTGGGAATGATGCTGTGGTTTCTATCCTAAAGAATCATATTATTTTTCTGGAAGACATAGTTTAAAACATATATTTTAAAAAAAAAAGGTACAAACTGATTAAGTGGCAGAGCCTGCTAGTACTGTCCCAATATCCATTCTCCCTTTCTTCCTAAGAAATAAAAACTTTATTTACAGTTGTACATACTGTTTCCCAGCTAAAAACCACATTCTTAGATTCCTATTCAACTAAATGTATTAATGTGTACAAGTTTGGGCTAATAATATATAAGCATAAGTACTATATGTCACTTTTGGGAAGTGTCCTGCATGGAAGGGGAAATGTGTTTCTTTAGTTCTTCCCCTAGTTGCTACTTGGAACTTAGGTGAAATTGCTACAGTTCCATCCCTGACTCATGAAGACAAGGACCATACCCTACAGATGGCAGACAGTGGATTTGGAACAAGTAAATTTCTTTTCACCTTCAAGACACTTCCATACCAGCCCTAAACTCCCTATCCTCAGACTTCTTGTGATCAAGAAGTAAACTTCTATTTCACTTTAATCACTATAGTTCAGGGTTTTCTGCCACATACATCTGAACCTAATTCTAGCTTATATAAGTAGTAAAGACATTAAATATACTAGGGTAGAAAGAGGAGACACCACGGTAGGTTACTTATTAGGAAATGTAAAGACTTGGGTTCTTGAAAGAATGTAGATATGTGAGATGGAGAAAATGGTCACCCAATGAAGGAGAAAATGTCAGCAAAATTGAGGAGACAGGAAAAGTATAATTTATTATGGTATAATAAGATTCTTTTAGTTGAAGCAGTATATTGTCAAGCAGTAGGAGTACTAGACATGTTAAACAGGAATAAATTACAGAAGGTTTTAATGCTAGGATAAGGACTTTACATGGGGTCCAAGAAGTAAAATACAATAACTCATTTTGCTTCTTTACTTCATACAACACCACTCCTATGATAAAATGTTCTGCTGTGGGTTATAGAAAAAGAATGAGTCCTCAAGAACAGAGTGAACCAGAGAAGAAGGTTGGGCTTTGAGTTAGTGAGAAAACAAATGAGATTATAAATAATGCTGAGCAGGAACAACTTCTCTTTTTCACATCTTGTGTGGCATTCCTTTCATTCTCTTTTCTCCCTCGAGATGGTGTGCCCTTGGAAAGGCGAGCAGGAACCAGGATGGGGCCTAAGGGAGCAGAAGTATGAAACAGGCTACTTAAGACTATCTCTAGTCAAGTCTCCTACTGTGTAGGGAAAAGGATGTCCTTTTTTTCTTACTTATGACCCACTCCAGCTCATCAGGGCTGCAGACTAGAAAGAAATTTGAAGCCAAAGTCCTAGTTAGTAATGAACAGTGTATTTGCTTGCAGTGTCCTTTATGCCTAAGTATGTCACTATAAAGAAGTGAGAATGGCATATTGATGAGTCAGGGCTCAGGTCATTTTTTAGAGAAAATACACCTTAAATTTCAACAGCGAGTTTTGATAGAATGTAAAATCCAGAAGGGCAGAGAAAGTATCCCCAGACTCTCAGTATGAGATCTAGCACATGGTAGGTACACAATAAATATCTGAATCTACGAAACCACCAAAATTCAAAACCTATTGAAAAAAAGATGTTGTAGATCCACATGCTACCTGATACCACTTTAAACTCATAACTGCTAACTTCAACCGGACCCTTGCTGCCAGCAATCTTATTTCATTTCCTCAATCCATTTGCTTTCCCATTCTCCTAAAAGACTATTTCATACCTTCTTCTCTTTCTCCAAACCTCTAGTATATCCTTGCTTTTCATTGCACTGAAGAAATTAAGCACTAGGGAGAAAACTGCCAAAAATCTACTGCACCTGTGTTCACTTATTAGCACCTCTCCTGTAACTATGGATGAAGTGCTTTGCCAAAGCCACACCCTTCCATGAGCATTAGTTCCCATCTACTCTCACCCACTTAAAGATTCAAGGATAATCCTCTACTAATACTTTCCTCTCTTTCCTATATTACCAATGGTCCCCTCTCTACTGGATCATTCCCCTAAGCATACAAGCATTGCTTTTGCCATTTCTAGAAAAACATTCTCTTGATCTGACACCCTTTCCAGTTACCACCACATCTCCCCTCTACTCTTCACAGTAAAACTCCTTGAAAGAGTTGTCAATTTCTATCTCCAATTTCTCTCCTCTATTTTCCCCATATCCATTGTCATAACCTAACATACCATATATTTACTTGTTTGGTCAGTGTTTCCTCCTACCTATATTCTAATATAAATTTCTTGAGAAGAAGGTGGGGTTTTGTTGTTGTTGTTGTTTAGTTGGTTTTAGTTGGTTTTTGTTTTTTGGTTTTTTCCTGTTTCATTTGCTGAGACATCTTAATGACCTAGAAAGGGGTTTGGAACACATTAGGTGCTCAAGAAACACTTGTTGATAAAATAAATACTTGTTGCACAAGTATAAGCTAATTCTCATTTAAGTAAGAGATGTATGTTTTTAAGATGTGCATTACAACTAAGTCCAGTGTCCTATTTATTTATCTAGTTTTTTTTCAGCTGTTTGAGTTGAAAAAGGATATTATCAATATTTTATATTTTCTTAAAATTTTGAGGTCCTGTGACTTTATAAATAAGATCCTACAAAAGAATCACTTTAATTCTATATGCTATAAAAATGTTTAAAGAAAAGAGAATTATTACAAGACTTAGAGTGAAAATGGAAAACTTGAGAGGTACACAGAGTACTTTTGGACTCATATGACTTATAATATTTGAAAATAGATATATCTCTCAATGTGAATTGTTTAAGCAAAAGTAAAATCCTAAATCAAATTAACAAATTTTAAAATTCACTTCATATTTTTAATCTGTTCATCACTTGACAAAACTAAGAGATTGATCCTCTATTCATTAACAAATGAACTGAAATCTCTATAAAACATTCAAATTGTTCAAAAGAGAACCCAATGTGATGAAATGTTTTGTAAAGTCTTCCCCTATTCTAACATTGACATTAAAAGAACTAATACACATCAGTTATGATAATATAATGTAATTCATGGAACTTCTTATAAATAATAGCAATATGAAAACACAAAAATAATCAATTAGTAAGAATAAAGTCGCCAATATTTACATTGACAACTATTGCTTGTGCACACTCCAGTTTTCTATTTCATGGAAGTCTAAATTTTTTGAAATTAAATTTAAAAGTTGATTTCTGTTTAAAATTCCACAGACAATATTATTTTACCTGTTCATAGGCCCCAACCTTGAGTGCTGTCTCTGGTGCAATTTTAAAAATATTTACACCATTTCCTCGCCAAAGAGAAAAAATTCCTCCTTCTTTTATCATCTGCTCAACCACACTAGTCAATCTCATTTTCCTTGTCTTTAAACTATGAACCTAAAAATGAATAGCAAATTCATTTATTTTTTTCATTTTACAGGCATTGTGGCATGAGTATTGCTTATTGCTAATAAAATATATATACATAAATGTATAAATTCAAGATTTTCAACACCACCTAAGTTTTTCTCCAGAGACAGATAAAACTGATATATTAATTTTTCTTATCTCTAAATACATATGTTAATTAATGTAACATAACAAAGAAAAAATAACTTAAGGAAAACAGAAATAACTATTTAACAAGTAACCAGAGAATTTCAGCATAAGATGTGTTGATGCTACCAAAATATTACAAGACTGTTAAAGAGTACATTGAAATATTCACTGAAAAAAGTATGGATGAAAATACATCAATCTTTGAACAGTGGATACTACTGGTAGCAAGGTGTTATGGGCTGAAATGTGTCCCTCAAAATTCGTATGTTGAAGTCCTGACCCCTCATTCCCTGAGAATGTGACCTAATTTGGAGACGGTCTTTACAGAGATAATCAAGTTAAAGTGAGGCCATTAGGGTGGACCCTAATCTAATATGACTGGCAGCTTTATAAAAAGGGGAAATTCGGACACAGAGACATGACACAGACAGAGGGAAGACAATGTGAAGAGACAGAGAGAGAAGACTGCCATCAACAAGTTAAAGAGAGAGACCTGGAACAGATTCTTTCTCACAGTCCTAAGAAGAAGTCACCCCTGCCAACACCTTGATTTTGGACTTCTAGTCTCCAGACTATGAGACAATAAATTTATTTAAGCCAGTCAGTTTGTGGTACTTTGTAATAGCATCCCTAGTAAACTAATACACGAGGATTATAGGTCATTTTAATGTCTTCCTTTGTGCTTTTCTGTGTTTTCTCATTTTTCTGATGTATTATTTTATAATAAGAAAAATGTTAATTTTAAGAAGGTGAACATTAAAACACTAATAAAATGCCCTCCTGTCTAAAAGAGAAAAATAATGAAAGAGCAAGGCAAAATGGGCATTCTCATCTCCTGTGGGTAGAAAAAATCTAGAAAACAATTTAGCAATATATATACAGCCTTAAAAATGTTCATATCATTACTTAAACTTCTAGGAATTCTTTTGAACAAGTAATATTAAATATAAAACATTTATAAACAATGGTATATATCATAAAATTACAAAAAAATTTCCTTAAAAGGAGATCAAAAACCACCAACATGTCTAAGTATAGGAAAAATTGATAAATTATGACACATCTATTCGAAATACAACAAAGCCATTAAAAATTGTACTTAAAGAATATAAAGTAGGCCTGGCGCAGTGGCTCAAGCCTGTAATCCTAGCACTCTGGGAGGCCAAGGTGGGCGGATAGCTCAAGGTCAAGAATTCAAAACCATTTTTTTTTTTTGGTCGGGCTGCAGCTCCTTCAGAATCATGGCGCCGTCGCTATGGAAGGGGCTGGTGGGCATTGGCCTCTTTGCCCTAGCCCACGCCGCCTTTTCCGCTGCTCAGCATGAGGAAATGACTGGTTAAAGGTAGTGTTAGAGTCAGATTAGCCTTCATGCAAACAAGAAAGCTACTTGAGAATTGAACAGACAGTAGGAGATCGTTCATATATGCAATTAACAGAAAAGGAAGATGAATCACTGTCAATAGATATAGTTCTTCAGACGCTTCTGGCCTTTGCAGTTACCTGTTATGGTATAGTTCATATTGCAGGGGAGTTTAAAGATATGGATGCCACTTCAGAACTAAAAAATAAGACATTTGATACATTAAGGAATCACCCATCCTTTTATGTATTTAATCATCGTGGTTGAGTACTGTTCCAGCCTTCAGATTCAACAAATTCTTCAAACCAAGATGCATTGTCCTCTAACACATCGTTGAAGTTACGAAAACTCGAATCACTGCGTCGTTAAGATTTTTACAAATTATGATAACAGGACAGGACATAGAGCTGAATATTGGAGTTTGGGGTATAAAGCACTCCTCCTCCCCATCAGTATTATACTTATCTTTCAGACCTAATTAAAAAAAAACTATGGCCCTGTTTATACACTGTTAATCAATCATTAATGCAGTATAAGTTATCCGTGGAATGAGTCTTTGGTCTTTCATATAGAGAATTTTTTTTTCATTTAAAACAAAGTTATGTCTTTGAAAAGCCACTGTTTTGAACACATTTCCTTGGAAAATGTGGTTGTGATTATTTTCTTAGATTTCTTTTCTTTTGCACTATAGTTTTTAGAATCCTTTTGGAAGTAATATGTGACTACTGCATTTTGCAGCATGAATTATGGCAAAATGGTCTTCATTTCTCAACATATGGACTTCTCTAATGAGACCAAAATGGTGATTTATCGGTTTTTCTTGTGTCCCCTAAAAGTGGCTCTGCTTTGGCAGATACTTGCCAGCTTTTAATTTATCCATGACTTCTCACCCAATCCCACTCCTGTATAACTTCTTACGTCAGCTGTCTTGTTTCATCACTTCAGAGATTCTGTGTGCAGTGGGTAATTTTGTGTCAGAAATTCTTTGTCGTAACAAGTATATTTAACAAGCTCAACTTGCTGTAAAGCTACCTGTGCTTCTTCATTTATCTGTAAAAATTTTCCCTAATTGATTATGTAGTGTAAAAGTAGTTGGAGATAGACCAAAAGACCATTTGTGATTTCATTATCCTGCCTATGTAAAAGAATGGTAATCACTGAGGAAAACTGATTACTTGTCATTAGCCAGTTTAACTTATTCAAAGTCTTTGTTGGTTTATTTCATACTGAACTAGTGAATCAGTGAAAATAAGGAAATTTTTCATTAATCTAAAGGAAGACTTCAAGGAATTGGGCCAAATATGTTCTAAATATTTGGAACTGATATATTTAATTTTTTAGAAAATTATGGTCATTTAAGAAATTATTTTGTAGCTTCTGATTTATAGCAGGCTTAGAGTTTTCCATCTTCACTATATGGTGCTGAAGTGAAAGTGAGGATGAGGATCTAGAGTTGAATTTTTTTTGAAACAGTAATTTTAGTTTCAGGGAAATGTGGCTAGCTCTTTGAGCTAGAAAGCTGCAGGAAGCTGAACATTTCCTTGTAGAGAACATTGCTTTTGTTAAATTGTACAGGTATAAAAACATTGCTTTTGTTGAACTGTATAGGTGTAAAGGGAATAATTGTATGCAGGTTTGAAAAGGAAATGTGCTTTAGGCACAAAAGAGTCATAAGATGCCCTTATACTTGATGGCATTTTTTCCCATTAGAAAGGAACCTCAGCTCTTGTATTCTGCCAGATAACACATAGCCCGAAAGCACAAGATTATTTTGTCATTGGATTTTTATTGTTGTTTAGTTTTGTTTTGTTTTGTTTTACCAACCCAGTCTGTTGTAGAACACTGACTCTGCTCTCTAATGAGAACAAAGTTAGACATTTGCTAATAACCTGAAATGATTTAGAAATGAGTTAAAAATATGAAATCAGGGGTTAAAGTGACGATGATCAAAATAGTGTGTGAAAAACATGCTCCTTCCATCAGGCTTGTGTACCATTTCCTTAGGTATGACTTGATTTTGGAAGAGCCTCCTGTTTTCTTTTTTGGGGTTGTCTTCCTTTCCTAATATGTATTTGTGATGATGTTACTGAGCTATAATTCACCCAATTAAAGGGTGCAATTCAGTGATTTTCAGAATGTTCACAAAGTTATACAACTATAACCACAATCAATTTTAGAACATTACCCCAAGAAGAAGCCCCATCCCCTTAGCAGTCACCTCTTCTTTCCTCCCACCCTCCAGCCCCTGGCAACCACTAATCTTACTTCTGTCTCTGTAGGTTTGCCTACTGTGATCACTTCATATAAACAAAATTCTATAACATCCGGTCTTCTGTGAATTGCTTCCCAAATAGGTTTTCTGTGTGGAGTGAGAAATTCTTCTCATCTTGAGAACACTTATTGCTATGAAAGGGAGTGGTTGGTAAAATCAATAGATTTAAGGAGGGAGAGCCAGATACCTAACAGGTTTCTCAGTTAATCTTATGCTGCATAATTTTTCCTTGTAGCCAAGCATTCATAATATTATATTTTGCTTGAGCCAGAGGTGGTGGTTTGCACCTATCCTCCCAGCTATTTAGAAGGTTGAGGTAGGAGAGTCGCTTAAGGCCAGGAGCTCAAGACCAGCCTGGGCAACATAATGAGACTCCGTCTCTAAAAAACAAACAAACAAAAATGGCCAATCTTTAGAATGGTTAATGAAATCTTTGCCTGCCTGGTCAGGAAAGAAAGTCCTGCTAAAAATGATGCCAAATAATTTGGCAGGTAATTGACACAGTAGTTGTCAACTCTGTCTACCTTTGTTAGCAGCTTGTATACCAGGTGAGCTCCACAAATTTTTTTTTAATCGACTCCAGCGAATTTCTGCTGTCTTTTTGAAGTATGTACCATAGGACTAAAAGTGATTTGGGTGCATTATAGCACTGCTAAATGTACTAAGTACAGAATTTTATTTGCAGTACTACGAAAGTCCGTTACTGCCTAGGGTAGTTCAAAACATATAGTGATTTGAGCTAGTTAACCTTGCAGTTTACATGATTTCAGTGACATTTAGAAGTGTGTACCAATCAGAGCTCTCTCAAATACAGGAAGACTCACTTTTAACCAAGGAACCAGGCAAATACTATGGGCTAATGGCCCAGCTGTAGAACATGCAGATCAGTGAACTAGAGACTATTATGCTCTGTAACTCCCTAATGATTGTCTCCTAATCATTGTGGCTTATTTCTGAATGGCATGACAGCATCTTCCTGGTGGTACGTGGCCTGTTTCCATGATGTATTGAGTAGTGTTGTTTGTTGCGAGCATCGATGCCTATAACACCAAGCTAAACACATTGTTTTGGATATGTTTCCTCTCTAAATGACCTTGCTCTGTCCAATAAATAAATGATTGTCTCACCCTGTTTTTGGTAGTGTTTCTTTTTTTTGTTTGTTTGTTTGTTAGTTTTGGGGACTTTTAACCTCATTTCTTCTACTTCTCTGTCCCCAGAAAAATATGAGCTAATTTTATGACCGTGTTTTTTTCCCCTGTGATGCTGTTTTTCTAAATTCAATGGATGCTTTATATTAATAATTGTATATGTAAAAATCTTATTGCAATTTTATGTTTTTATGGTCAAAATAAAATGTATAATTTCATTTATATTTATAAATCATCAAATGCCCTTGGGGGTGTAAGAATTGGTTCTTCAGCAGTGTCTAATCATCTCATCACAAATTTGTTATAGAGCCAAACTGCCGTTACAAAATGTCACTTTATACTTAACAGGAAATCAGTATTATTAACTCATTAGGAGGCAAATCTAAAGTTTAATGAAAATCCAGGGGAAGTTCTAGTTTGCAAAGCTTGGTACTTAACTACATACAGTATTTTGAAAAATAACGCCACCAGTATTCAAGTCTACCTAGAAATATCTCAAAATCTGCTAATCAAGTATTCTTAAAAAGTGGGGGACTAAGCTACTTCATGGGAATGTAAGAAAGAAAAAAAAAAAAAGAAAAAAAAAGTGGGGGAGAAGAAAGATAATATATGTACATGGAAAAAAGATCAGATGGTACAGAAAGGCATAAAAGTAAAACTTGTTCCTTACCTCCTACCTTAATGCTTCTTTCCAAAAGTAACCAGCTTCAAGTATATGTTCTTATAGGAAACATTTTTTATTTGCCAGGAAATATATAGTTTAAAAGAATTTTACATAAATGGAATCAGATTATATGCATTCTTCTGTACCTTTTTTTCTGCTGCATGTTTTATAAGATCCTTCTGTATCATTATATATAGAAATACCTCATTCTTTTTGATGACTGGTATTCTAATGTTTGAATGTGTTATAAATATTCAGATCAATATTCAGATATTGATAGGCTTTTAGGTTTCTTTTTTTTTTTTTTTTTTTTTT